AAGTCACCAATTTAATGGTACTTGGTCCCAATGTAATTTCCCATTGAGAACCTGCTAGCACTAAGTTGCTAACTGGTTAGCAAGATGCTGATGAAGGTTTCCCAGTCATCCAGGTCATAGTCATTCCGTAAATTCCTGGAGAGGTGGCGAAATGTCTTCAAATCTTGGAAACCAGTCCAGTAGATATTTTTTGAATTTTTAGGGAATGGTTAGCAAGATGCTTCGAGACACCGGCTACAATCAAAATGTTTTAGGTCTTTCTGCCACAACGATCCCGCCTTTGATAATCAACCAATCACATTCACTTAATTCACTCGTGAAAAGTCGGGCACCACTGAGAAGAATTCGGAACTGCAACCGTTGGAACAGCCGCTTCCCTACAACTTTAAGTATAAGTGGAAGTGCACCAGCAATGTCTGTAAGTGCTGTCTGAATAGTGCAGGTAGTAAGGAAGGAGGTAGGTTTCCCATAATCCTTTGCGTCAACGGAACATAAAAGCACAGCCCATTCCTCAGCGTTTAACAAAATAAATGTTTTCTTTCTATATACTCTGTATGACGCATGCTATTCTAAACACCTTTAAGTTTTTTGGGGTTTATGTAGTAATGGTGTCCGTCACTTAATGACGTCTGTAAGGCGACAGGATGTTTGAATTCATTTTGGAGCTCCTCTCCTATACTGCGACCTTCTTACTGCTGACCCCACAAAACATAGGAGTAAGGAACAGGAGGTGGGAGCTACAATTCACAATCCTTAATATCCAATGAGCTATTTTGTCTAGAGTCTGGATAAAAAAAAAAATTGTTTAGAGCCACAAAATATTGCATGACCTTTTATTTTTGTTTACTATCTGCGATAAAAATCTGCTGCCATCTTTAACAACTAACAGTTTAATTGTATTCTTAGGTGATAAAAAATGCAATTTTCAAGTCAATTAAAAATAAATTTAGCTCTAAAAAAACACATTTCCAGTTCTTTTAATGTTGCTCTGCTGTTAAAATTATATTGAAATATTCTTTATAACAATCACTAAGGCTTCTCATACTGGTATGTACCTATAGTGCATTTGTTAGTTCTTTATCTCTATTTATGCCTATACAGGGTCCAAAGTGCTGAAGGATGCATACCTCTGGTTTAAATGATTGTCAAAGTTGATAATTCTGTTTGGTAGGAGTCTGGTTTGAGACACTATGAATCAGCAAATATTTTAATTTGGCCCTAACTACAGTTTTTAAGTAGGGATGCTTGTCTCTTTACTAATCATGTCAGGCTTGGCTTAAAAGTTGTATTGACAGTTATACTTAGTGCCTATGGATTCAACTATTTTCTATTTTATTAGAAAATGTACTAATTGCATTTGTCAATTCAGGCCTAAAGAACAGTTTGGCTCAGTCAGGCTTTTTGAACCTCTCCAGCATAGACAAACACATTGAGGTCTTGTTTTTTTTTTTTTTACTTGTTGAGACAGAAAGTGACGCTTTCATGGCAATATTTAATCAATAAATATGGCGCGGGTGGTTAGCCTTACCCCGACAGTTATGTCCATCTCCGGTGTATCCTGCGGGACACCTCCCACAGCGCGATCCTCCGCCCACGGCTGGCTCACACTGGACTCCAGGAAAGCAAGCCTTGCCGGAGCAGGTTCTCGCATGTCCGTTGGCTGCTGTGTCGTTTCTGACTTGAGTGAAAGTAGGTCTTTGCAGTGGTGAGCTGGAGATCATCCTAACAAGAGCAGTTGGAGTTGGTTCCGGTTGAGTTTGGGCATCCTCTAGGCTGAAATCAAGATGGTCTCCATCTGCGGAGAGCTCCGATTCAGGCAGAGAATAGGACAGCACTGTGAGGGCGGCAGTGAGAGGAAGAGCTGGTCTCTGAGGGGTCCAGGATTTGGGTGACGGGTGGTGGTTAAGCTGAGGCTGGACTCCCTGTGATGACGTCGCCTTAACGGTTGTAGCACCGGTCAACACTCGCTCAGACGTCTGGGAAACCTAAAGGACGTGGAGCAATTATTGTTTGGAATCATAGCAGCTAATCGGTACAAAACATTTAACTCACCGTGGGACCTGTTACACTTCTTGACCTGGTGACGGATCTGGTAATGGAAATTTCCTGAGAGGAGAGGGGATAGGATACGGCGCTGGGTGTTGTCTTTGTGGCGTCTCTAGAGGAAGATGTGACAGCTTCCCTTCGTCCTGTTCCACCAGCTCTCTGCGATGCCAGATCCTGAGCTGATGGCTCGTCTTGCGTAGCAAATGATGAAGGCGGACGCTTGATTGATTGCCTGAATGGAAAGTTTGGCAGGTGGAGGTGGGAAGTTTTGGCTTTTTTTCCCTGCAAATATCGGCTGAATTTTCCAGACGTCTGCTGCTGAGGGAGAAAATTGGATGCTAAGGAAAGACAGGAAGTCAAATCAGTGCCGTTTTACAAATCGTCCTTATTTCCTCCCCTGTTCCTGCGATAAAGTATCAAAAACACAAAAAAACTACTGTTCCATGGAACACAGACTTGTTAAAAATGTTTGCAAAAGCAATCCATTTAATCCATCAAGCTTTAAAAACCATGAATATTTCCAAACCAGATGTTGTAAATGATCAGTGCTGGCATAAAAACATTGAAATCAAAACCATTCAAGCGATTTATGCAATGTTTAAGGCATCTGCAGAACGCCCACCATTGCTTTGAGACTTTCCAGACAAACAAGACCCACAGCAAAGGGATTAAAGCTGGATTCAAACTGTCTCCTATGAGTTTTCTGGTCTCTCTCATGAGCAACAACATGAAACAATCTTCTGCTAACTTTATGTTCGAGTGGTTAATACATTAAGGCCATCTCTAACCACTCACACTGATTTATATGCTGCAATATTTTCCAATAAAAGAACACTGAATATCGGGGGGAAAAATATAAAAAACAAGAGCAGCACATAACTTCTGTAAGGATTCAGATTACTTGAATGTCAAAGTTTTATATTAAGTTGAAGTAAAAGGGAAATGTATCACTAATAATTTGATTAATGTGGAAACTTGAGGTAAATGATACTCTACCTTCCTTGGGGGTCTTCATGCAGACCCGACCGTTGCCATAAAGTCCAGGGGGGCAGCGGCCGCAGACGTAGCCGACGTGTGGAGGTCTACGGTTGATGCATTGAACTCCAGGGAAGCAGGGCCTGCTGGCACATGTTGCTGAGACACGGACAGCAGGAGACTGAACCGATCCTGGAGGATTCAGACAGAGTGGTCAGGAGAAAGTCTGCCTAAATGGAGTCGGTTACTTTAGCTAAACTTGCACGATCGCTTGCCTGATTCCATATTATCTGCATTAATACTGCGAAATTCACGACCGGATGTCCTACATCTATTCACTGCTTTATTGTGTAACGCTTACTAGCCTTAAATCTTTATGGAATAGTTTCAAGAAGGTGTCGGATTTTGTTTCACATTGAAATAATTGCATCATTCAGCTGCTGGAGGATCATCAGCTGCACAACAATGATGTCAATCTGGTCTGGTTGTTTGAAGCCACTCGAATAGATTTAATTTGTTTTCAGGAAATAACATTCAGATGATTTAGCTGTGCAGTCTGGAAGTTGTGTGACAATGATTTTAAAGCCATGATCATGGTCATTAATATGAATCAGGTTAGCTGATTCTGTTTCTACAGTGATGTTTGTCCATAGCATGTCAGGTATCTGTTTCTGTTATGTTTTTCTTTAGAGTATCCAGTTTTGCTTTACTCCTTGTTTTCTAGTTTTAGTGGGTTAATTCTTAGTTTATTGAGTTCTTTGGTTTTTTCTCAGTTACTGTCTTAGTCTTGGTTCTGTTATATTTTCTTTTTAGTGTTCAGTCATGCTTTACTCCTTGTTTTCTAGTGTTTGTGTTTAGTTTTCCTTTCTACATATTTTACAGTCCTAGTAGTTTATTATTTTTGTTATTTCCAGTCCTCCAGGTTTCTATTTGTTGCCCTCTGCTGCCCTCTTGTGTTCTCCCTTTTCCCTAGCTCTTTCCCTCTCTTGTTCTGTGCACACCTGCTCCCAGTTTCCTCATTAGCCCCTCTCTTTCAAACACTGTAAAACATGCTCCAACTCCTTCTCTCTGAGCCTTCCTCCTTATGATAGTGATTCCCCTGATGTCTCCATGGTTTCTGGTACGTTTTGACTAGTTTTCATGTTTTGATTTTTGGATTTTTGGACTCCTGGTTTCATGTTTGTTTGGACTTTTTCTTTTTGGATTTGGACTCCTGGTTTCCTGTTTATTAGGACTCTGTTTTCATATTTGGATTTTTGGAAAAACTGCCTCTGTTTTCTGTAAACTCATGATTAAATCCACAAGAGATTCACCTCTGCCTCCCTGCCTCTGCTTTTAGGTTAACTAACCATAGCCAAATCGTGACATAGCAATACTTTCCACAATCGCAATACCTCCTATAATCTGATCCTCTGAAGAAGGGAGGTTATTTAAGCTATTCTTGCCTTTCTTCTTTCTTAAGCCAGTCTTTCTGCTCTGACCTCTGACGTCATTAAAGGGGTCATAAAATGCAAAACCGAGTTTCCATTGTCATAATAGAATAACAATAGTTCAGTGGGTGAAATATATACCGGTACGTACAGAGAAGTTCAAACCCCATCGACACCTCCTTTCTCTGCAAATCTCACAATTCTGGTCGTCTGGTCACCCTACCATATCAATTTGATGTATTAGTGAGTGTTTGTCGCTATGATGCGTCTTTGCTCAGCAGCTTTGCTCGTTGTAAACCAACCAATCAGCGCACAGCTCATCTAAATATTTATAAGCATACCATAAAAGGAAGAAAACCTGTTGTTTCATTCTAGGGCTTTTAACCAGGCTTGCATTAGGGCTTATAGAACAGCAAATATGCCATTTACAGCCCAACAGATGTTACACACCCTATTCAGAGACCTTAAGGACCAAATACCCTATAGAATCATTCTATCACTCCTTTAAGCAATTTTCATTTACACAACTGCTGCTAGTTTTCTGTTAACTCATTAGTTAGCTAAGCATCATCTTCCATGATCTCAGCATATTCAGAAATGATCAGACCTTCTTTACCTACATCCACACACCTGTGATTGGCTGGTTTTTAACACCTGGACAGTTGTTGGTCAATAGAGGCCAATTAATTAATAGTCTCCATTAAACAAACCAAAAACATCTTAAAATACCTTTCCTCTCAAAATATTGCTTATTCTTTCAGTACAAATACTAGGAAAGCAAATGAAACTCCTATGTTATAGCTGCTTTATCAACTGTTGAATCTGAAACATTATTCTATAAAAGCATCAGGAAAGAAGCCTGACAGAACATCTTAAAGCCTCATAAAACTCATCCATGATGGTTGACCATAAAATTTCAAATTTCTCAGCAGTTTGAACTGGTATGTTCTCCCAATGATCTTTGCATTTATTATACATGACGCCTTATTCCGTAACTATGAAATGGAATAACAGAACTTTCTGTCATGATGCTATGAGGTCGCTGGTATTTCTGTCTAAATGTACACATAAAAACCTTGGTTAACTCTTCCCCATTTCCCCTCTAGAAAACCCTTAGGATCTGAACCAACGTCTTTGCTTACGCTTAAGAGCTGTTTTGATTTTTCTTTACATTTTGTTTTAAACTTTCATAAAGATGCCTTTATCCAAGGTTTAAACTCTATAACTAGATCTCACTGATATTTTGAAAATGATCTTTCTCAACATAGACTTGGATGCTCTCGTTTCTTTAAAACCTCCCATTAAAGAGGATCAAGTTTGCTGAAGTTTCGTGATATAGACTAAGTCTATATTACTAATCTATATTTTTTAATGTTTAGTTTACCTGCTGATGATCTTCCATTTCCTGATGTCTTATTGGAAGTAACCCCCACTTCAGTCCTGGCTGTAGATCGGTCCGGTACTTCCGTCTTCACTGATGTCTCCAGGCCGTCCTCCAAACGGTCGCTGGTGGACTTGGATGAATTTGGATAAACTCTTGGTTTTATTGGCTGACCAGCTGCTGCCAGACCTTTTTTGGTCTCTTCCATCCTGAGTCTTAAGCTGGAAGTAAATCCTGGATTATTCCTCCAAGAGGTTGACTCTGTTTTGGGGACAGGTCTTAAAATGTCCTCGCCCTTCATATGTGGAAACGGTGTTGTGATGATGATGTTCGGTCCAAAGACTGCAGCTTTTGGGGGAAAAAAGCCAAGTGGTAAACTTTAGTTACTTTGGAAGACCTGTTGTATGCCACTTATTCTAGACAGTTTGCACAGATAGGGAAGTAAAAAACTAAGAGAGAAAAAACATTTGACAGGTCAGAGCTGTAGAGAGGAAGCAGTTTGTTTATAAAGAGGCATGATAATTTCTTTATGGCTAAATCGGATTTAGGATCTCAGGTTTTACACAAGGCAGCACCTCTAAATGTGATTAATCCTTCTCTAGCTCTGCATAAACCTTTGGTTAACCCCAGGAAAGGAAAGCAGACTGCAGACTAGGGGACTTTTAAACATGGAAGATTTGTGACGGAACATTTCTGTATTCATGTTGTTTGTCATACCTTTTTCAGTGCAGTTCTGATCTTAAAATTCACAAAATGCAACAAAAAGGGGGTTATATGCAAAAGCATGACTGGGACATTTATGTATTGAAAAGCCCTCAAGGCAAGTAAAAATTTAAGTTTTTTTCTTGTAATACTTAATTTTGCCACTGATGTAATAAGAAAGAGTCCAGTCATTTCATCAAGAGAGTCAAATCTGAACATGATGACGTGATGAGATGACTGGAGTCTGGTGTCCTGTTGTTTGGTTGGAAAGAAAACCTGCAGCCACGCCGCCCTTTCTGGAACCAGTTTGACACCCCTGCCTTAAGGTGTGTTTACACTTACGGCAAACAATGCAACTCTTTCTTGGTTTGCTTACGTTAGGCAACTTGGAGCGGGAGGATTCTTTGTTCCCATGCATAGAGATGTCTGTGACATGCACTCACTCAACATAGGCCTACGTAATCCTACAATAACATATTTACAGTTGATTTATTAAAAATGCTTTTCAGTAAAAGTCAACAGCAATAAATACAATAATTATAATTTTATTCAAAATGTATTTATTAAAAAAAATGCTTAACAATTCCTGTAATGAATGAAAAGCACAATGAAAGAAATAATCTCATCTAAACATCCCTCACTTAACAATAAAAGTTAACAATAACTCTCAACTCCCAATAACAGATGATACTCAGCCTCAGTTATGAACAAAATGTCTGTTCTGTAGGCTATTGGAAAATATAAATTAACAAATGAGCTAATTCACAAAAAATACCTCTTGTGTATCAAAAACATACCAAAATGTACCAAAAACGAACAAACATATCAATAGACTATCTTTACTTTTGGTGTCCAGGTGGCTTTTCAGATCCCTTGCACCTCCATTGGACACCGAGACATATGTGCCTGCTTTGCACACTGTTCACAAGTCCTCCCATTTGTCTCGACCCGGTCTGAAAGCGGGGAAACTCTTTTGTAAATCATTGGTAAACATACATTTGCGCTTTTGCATGTTGTTGGCGTACTGACAGCCACGCTGTCTATATTCTGATTAAGAACAGGGCTGCCCGCACTGACGCGGCTCAGGAATTACGTCACACGCAGCGTCGTGCGCAGTGCCTGTAAATTTAATGATCCAATGAAGGTAATTTAAAAATCAGGACATTTCCTCACTTTCAAAAAAAAAACCCGGGACGCCCGGGACAGGACGTGAAATACGGACATGTCCCGGGAAATACGGACGTTTGGTCACCCTAGCATACATAAAATTTTGCCTCTCTTTCAACGTTATTTTTGCATCCACTTTTCGTACATCCATCAATCCTAGGCTCAGTTTAGCTTTGCTCCATTTCCCAATTCCCATCAAAGCCAATTCTCATCAAAGCGTTTCCTTCTCATTAGTGACCATTAATTAGTTTCAGATTTCGTCTTCATATAAGGATAACATTTGGATCACTGACGTCTTTAGAAATGACTTGGTAACCATTTTCAAATTGATATATTGTTTTCTTATTTTCCATAGGGGCATGATTTGTTGCTTCCTCAGATCGTGAGCCTACTTCGTGCAGTCAGGTAGGTTCTGTCTGATAGTGTTTTTTTTTTTTTGTGTGTTCTATATCTGCCCAAATCATGGTCGTTACTTTTCCCCTTAAGTCATATTGGTTTGAGTCCCTTTTTGTCATTTGAAAAGCCTTTTTTTATTTGCCTTGGTTATCTTTGTCTGATGTTGATAATTGTTTGAACATGTGAAACATTAAAGTGTCACAAAGGCTTTTCCCAGCACTGTAAACATGAAGACTGACTAAACTTAGCTGGAAGCAAGCGAGGAACATGGAGGAAAACATGTATCTGCCACAATCAGGCATCTGCTTTCCATTTACTGAAAGCGCTCCATCCCTGCTGAGTTCTCCTCAGAGGCTCTGCAGAGCAGAAGTACCTGAAGCTTCCTCTTCATACAGCAAACAAACTGTTTTTTTTTCCTTTTATGCAAATAAAATCAGGGAAACATGTTCTAACCAACATCAGTCACTCAAATGCAAATGATTTTATGTGCAATCAGGCCTCTGATAGGTTCCCGAAATCCTCCTGAACAGCATTGTCGGATATTGCTGTTGATCGGCTCCAGGATTGTGGCCATAAAGGGGGGGGGGCTTGTATGTTTACAGTTGTTCTCCACTGATTCTATTTCCGGACACATGAAACCGTGTTGGGTAGCGATTCCCTCTCCTAATTTGATTAAGAGATGGAAAAGGATCAAAAACACTGTGGTTCAATTTGAGTTCAGGGAACTGAAGAATGTTGGAGACAAAAAGTGCTGAAGGAAAATGGGTCTCATCCATCTTCTTGGTTGCCTGCATGTGACTTTGAAGTGGTGGCATGCCGTCCTGCTTTACATCATCAGCTAGTGAATGTAAGAGTGCAGGACTGAATGTAGTGTAACGTCCTCAAACTTGATGAAGCACTATTGAAGTATAGCTCATTTAGTATTTTACGAAAGCTAAAAAGAAGAAAGCTGTTTTTGCCTGAATTGCTGCAGTTAAAGGCTGGATTCTGTATATT